AGCTACGCCGTCGACGCCGCCGCCACCGCCGCCGCCGCCGCCTCCACCGCCGCGCTGCAATTAAAGTCGAATGTAAACTGATAGGACGCCGCTGTTACACGAAACTCCGCGGTAATGATTACGAGAGCCGTCGTAATTTATTACGCGCTTCCAGATTCTCTCCCTTTGTTCATTATTTTATATTTAACGCAACTTGCGTCATTGCCGCCGATGAGCCCCCGGCTTCTTTCATTCGTGAACAAAGTTTTGCCGCAGCTCTCTCGTCAATAAGAGAGATTCAAGGACTAATTAAAGTTTTGCAAACGTGACTCCACGCTGACGACGTCATCCCCGGACGGCGGACAATGAAGTTATTTCCCCGTCGTTATTTTCAAGGCAAGTTTGCATGCTTTCCCGGCGGAGAGACGTGTCCTGTTTTTTTTTCTCTCTCGCAAGTTTCGCACACAATCGCCGACGACACGAGCTCCGATTGCGGTTTCTCTTGTCGTTCGGTCGATGGGCCAACGAATTCAATTTTCTTACCTTTGTGCCCCGCGGCCCGAATTTCAGTTAGACCGGCTTTACGGATTTCGACAAGCGTCAGAGATCACGGTTGCTTGAAACGAGAACTCTCTCCACTATTGAAGTTGTAACCGCGTAACTCACTCGCGCGAGTTCCGCGGTGATTTAGGAGGGACCTCGCGTACTTATCCGAAAAGTGAATTTCGCAACTTTTAGTATTTTCTGTCTGTTTTAGTATTTGTTATTAACGCGGCGTGACACAAATCGTTTTGGAACACGGCACACACAACAAGTTTGAATTCGAAAACACGCTGTCCATATAAGTACTTTAGGACGATTATTTGACAACATTATATGAGTTTCATTATATAGATTTTAACACTAACTAATTATAAAGCGAAATGTTCAACCAAATATTAAGGTCGATACGAGTCAATGTGTCGGATATACATGCGCACATGTAGGATGTATTTTTTTACGTGTAAATTAATACACATGGAGATCCGCAAATGAAATTCTGTTCAAGATGCTTGGTTTGTATCTCATGTGTGTAAAACATTACATTTACCTCCCTTATAAGTTTTCGTGTAAATGGAAAACAAGTTTTGTTTCAAATAGAAAATGTAAATTTCAGTGGTAAAATTAAACAATAGCGAGAATTAATAGTGATGTGTTATACGACAAAAACCTAGAGAAGTTTAACAACATATTCGGTCGGTCACGGTACTATTGCATACATCTCTTTATTCATTGTGACAACAATTCGCGGAGTGATACGTTCATAAAAACCGGGATTGTTCTCCGGGAGATCAAGAGTTACAAATAAGAAAGCGTCAAGACCTGGCACTTCATCTTCGTGATCTAAAAACGAAAATCAATTCAAGCGGCGACCGAAAGAGAATTTATTTTCTTAGAACGGGTAAAATAAAAACGTCATTTGCAATCATTCGAATCACACTCGTCGTCACGAATGACGACTCTGTGACAGGATTTATTTTTTTATAACAAATAAAACACAAAAACCTCATTCGCAAAATCCAAAAATTATCCTCAACTGACATTTAGCGCAAAGAGCGAAGTACAAAATTTATAGTATTTTGATAACGATTTTAGTTTTTCACCAAATATATAATTGTATTTTGCGTATAGACATAAGCGTGCGTTTCCGACTGGTTTGCGCTTGTTAACTTTGACAGAAATATACTGACACGTAAAACGTTTATACATTACACCCGTTGATATAGTTCGGAAACGTAAAACGAGATCGCACATGGACACACTGCGGCCGACGGAATATAAAAGAGGAAGTCGCGCGTGGCATATCCGCGGTAAATGTTTGCTCAAAATAGAGTAAATAAACAAAACGTATATATCGCGACACTATATATTGATCAGGAACCAAAACATTTGAATGCATAAATCGTTAATTTGGCAAATGTCCGCGCGCAGACGCAAGTGTTCTCGAAAATACTCCGCGATTAATCCATTAACTATTTATACGGTCCAAATGCAGAATAATGTGTTGCGTTAGTTTTTGAAAAAAATTGAACATTTGCAGTAATAGCTACGTAGCTATTTTGAAGATACTGAAATGTGTAATTCAATGCTATTTATACGCGTGTATGTATTGTAAGTAGGATATAAATTTATGAACAATGTTACGATTACACCTGGTGTAAATGATTGCGCTATTCATATCAGTGGAAGAAAAAAGAAGACGTCGCTTTGACGACGAAATGTTTTGGTGGAAAGAAGACGGAAGAGATTTAAATCGAAAATCGGTGCGCGACCAATGTTCATGGCTTTGATTTCTCGCGGGCGATTCGGTGTTATTAATTCGAGCGAATTGTATTTTGTTGTTATCAAATAACCGGGAGGGTAAATTGATTTTACGTACATGAGATGCTAACCAAGCGTTCTATATGAATTTTCGAATTGAATTGAATTCAAATCTCGATGTGTATTAATTTACATGTTTAGAATAACTATATATCTATAAACTAACTATATAAATTAAAACTATATGTATACTATATGTATATTTGCACATACATTCAATATTGGTATCGCCCTTGATCTCTTCGGTACGGCGCTTGTTCGCCGCGTAACGTCACTTGAACTAACCGCAAACCGCAAGCAAACGTATTAAACTGAGAAATTAACAGACACGAGAATTGATACAAAAACTACTTACAACGAAGTGTTCAGACTAGAAAGAACGTAAACAATCGAACGCTCTCGGCGATTGTCGGCTATAGTACCGAATCGGCGTCCGTTGACTATAGTCGACGCTCGTCCTCAAGAAGTTATACTTGTTCAAACAAACAATGTTTTGTTCTCGCGCTTATTATTTCTAAAGTCGCGAGTTACGCACAATATATTTTAATATAATAGACACTGAAACAGTTCAAAGTGTGCATATTTTGCAAACGTAAATTAGAAAATATACCACATCTCTCTCTCTCTCTCTCTCTCTCTTCCTATAATGCGGTTATAAACCGCGGTTATCGATAATCTTACCGTTAGAGCGAGCCGAGGTTAATCCGAGTACAAACGAGTCGACAACGTAATTACAAGCAGCAAATACAATAATTCGGTTGACAACTAATCAAGCCGACCGCGGGCACGGTTTCCGAAATAATGCGGCTATGCAACGCGCGCGTCTGTCGTAACGTGGACGGAGCCGCGTGCTGCTTTGACGTTTGGTTTGCGGCTCAATTTGCATGTGATAAATGCGCCGCGGACGGTCGCCGGTCTCGTATACTCGGCGCTTTATACGGATGACAGAGAGAATGCGGTCTCTTCCGCACGCATGAATGCAAAATCGAAACTTTCGGGGTGGCGCGTTTTACCCTTGCGGTGACCGGCGGCGGTTGTATTCGCGGGCGCAACTTTGTCGCATATTTTACGCCCGGTTGAACGCGCTTATTACTTACGCGCGCGAAACGTAACTATGCTAATTATGAAAACGAGCTCGCACGAGTCGGCCCGGGGTATTAAATTTATATAGACAATTTCGCAAAATTATGCAATGCCCGAATATTTGGATAACGACGCGAACGCCTGGTAATTTAACATGCCCGGTTGTAAATGATCACGTCACGCGAAGAGCGACACGTGAGAACCGAGTTAAATGTTGGGCGCGGGCATAACACACGGAGAGACACAAAGTTACTAAGACGTAATTATTCATTGCTGAGTCCTTTATAATAATGACAAATGACTATTCCTTCCGTTCGCGCGTTCCGTTTCTGTTTCCTCTATTTTGAGAGAGAACACCCGTTTCTTCCCTCCCCTCCTCCCCCGCTTTCCTTAGCCGAAGCGGCGACCCTGTGACGTGCCTAACGATTCTTTAACTTCCCGGTTATCAAACTTTCTCGCATTGGATCGCAATCGTATTGAAATATATATTGTTTTCTCGCGCATTATATATCGCGGGGAGGACGCAACTTTCGCGAGTGCCGACCTCAATTTGTTACGGTTTCCGCGGAAAGACGTAATTTGCATGTTTCCGAATTCTAATAACACAATTAGCACGCGTGTTTTGCTGGTATTAATTAAAATTTATCAAACCGACGTGTGTTATTCCGTTTTCACATGTCAGAGTCGGCCACGTCGAGCAATACGTTGCGGAATATTCAAGAGAAAATATGATATTATTGCGCTCGTTTCTTACGAAAAGTAGGAGAAAAACGTTTGTTCTCTCATAAAAAAAATTGATGTATTGATTTCCGTTTCATCTCGCCGAAAGAGAGACAACAGAGAAAGGAATTAATGTCAATAGCATCTCGCGGGGATTTATCCCTTCCACGGCTTAAACTAAAGTTTATCGAAGTCGCGGACTTTTTTCTTTTTTTTTTTTTTTTTTTACGTGCGAAACTTCTATTTGCACGCTTCGGAAGAACGGGAACGACGGGCGATACAATCGATTTTTTAAAGTGCGGACATATATTCGTGTCAGACAACAGCCGCTAACGATATAACTTATTGTGATTTACGGATAATACGGTCGCATTTTTATGGCACACCGTTCCATTAGCTTCGATGCGCATGATTTATGCAAAGTGTTCTTGGCACTTTCCGCGGGGAAGGAACAAGACTACTTTTATACGTCCACTTACGAAAGTCGACCGCATATAAATGTGGCTCTTGTCTGCGCCCGCCTGTGCATATAAAGTCCGGGAGCGAATATAATGTTTTCTTTTTGGAGTCTGTGCGGCTAATCATTTTTCGGAGGTCACGAGCAGACAGAGGCGAGAAAACGTCGACAAGGGAGAAATGTGTGTGCGCGTGCAGGTGTGTGTGTGCGTGCTCTTTTTATCTTTTATATAACTTTACAAGAGTGAAAAGTTGTTTATAAATTGAAATTCTTTGCCGAACACTTTTGAAAAATTAAAAAAAAAAAAAAAAAAAAAAAAACATTAAAAGTCAAAAACTACGAAAAAGAAAATTTTGATCGTTATTTTACTTCACGTCGCGCGATTTCTTTCTTGTTGCAGGTGTCTTGGGTGCGTAGACGGGGAGGAGACGAATTGCACTTACTCACCATCGGTCTGGACACGTACGCGAGCGACTCCAGATTCTCTCTGGCCTTTGAGAAACCTAATGACTGGCGATTGCTTCTACGCTCGGCCACGGAGCGCGATGCCGGTCTCTACGAGTGTCAAGTCAGCGCCCATCCGCCATTAATCAGAACTGTCCATCTAGCGGTGTCAGGTAAGTGAGCGCGTCATTGCGCGTGTGTGTTCATCTGACCGTTCACGGGACTTGGCAACCTCGAAGGCAATCAAGAGCCGCTATTTCCCTCCCTCCCCTTTCCCTCTACTATCAAAGATATGCGTTTTGATCTGCACACGACCGCAGTGCGGCTCGTAAATCAACGGCGTTTGTATAGAGCGGCCCGAAACTGTCGCTATTATTCGGAAATTGCGAATTACGAATCGGGTTCCGAAGAAGAAAATCCATTCGTTTCAAGTGTACTTTAATACATTTTACTTTAATCGGAAGATTATTGACAAAAATATTGAATTACTCTTTATAAAACAAAAAAAAGAAACAAACAATGTGTGTACTAGATTAAACACTCGCGAATAAAAGTGTATCAAGAACGCGATATGTGAGTTTGAAGCGCCGCTTCTCTTAATGTAATCCTCCTCGCGATGCTTGTTTCGTGGAAATATCTATGTCGTCATGTTGCGCCAGTCGCTTTCGCATATTAACGCAAATGAAGCTACTTTTGCCCCAAAGAGCAAATATGACAAAAGCCAAGTACATTATTCTCTTAATCTACTCTTGTAAAGTACTTCCGGAAAGTTGCTCTCACACTCTCTTTCTCTCTCTTTCTCTCTCTCTCTCTCTCTCTCTCTCTCTCTCTCTCTCTCTCTTCGTAGATACATAATCCATGTGTCCCGCGACGCGTTTTCGCCCGACCATAAATCACGATGGTCACGTCGTTAGGGTCGTCCTCTTCGCAGCATAATGGCGATCTCGATGCTGTAACGATGTTCTCGTGGCGCCCACGTCCCACGGTACTTAATTGGAATTCTATCTCTTATTCATCTCTCTCTCTCTCTCGCTCTCGCTCTCTCTCTCTTCTATTCCACATATATTTCTCTTTCATTATTCATAATTCACGGGAAGTTTCCAAGATCCAAGCTGCGTAATCTTATCTTAATATTCTCGTTAAACAAATACGTAAAAATAGAAAAGAAAATAATTAACTAATGATACTTAACAAAGTCGATACAAATAATATTCGATGTTACACAAAGATATTCAGTGTTAATGATCGGACATGTACACCGCTCCCATAGTAAACTCATTAGCATTTATCACCGATGCGTAAACCGGTGTAACACTGGATAATTCGCGACTGACTCGACCGACTACCTGTGATTGATTGATAGCGAAGCAATATTGCAGTTGTCAGCTGTATTTGATTAATAACGAACATAAGGCTGATAGACACTTCGAAGATCAAATTCGGGTTTTCAACCAGCTCGTCCGATGACGCTTCTATAGGCTGACTATAGATTTTAGTTGCGCGCGCGCGCGCGCGCGTTACAAGAGTAGTTGAGCGAATAGTTGCGCCGAGATTAATGAGATCGCGTTGAAAAGAGAAACTTGCGAACGCATACTTGCAGCTTGCTCGGAATTTGTACATAATCGCGCGCGTTATTGCGAATTAATCACGGTATCGTGAGCACGCGAGTAACGTAGTACGGTATATGTGTATGTACGTCAATAAAATAAGCTTGCGATAACGAACTCGCTTTTTTCCAAAGTGTATTGTTGAAAAGTTATATATATATATATATATATATATCGCGTCAAAGATGCAATATCCTATTTCCGTGTGCAAATAGATAGTTAAGTCTCGTGTTCCTCTACTGAGACAGCTTCAACTCGTCTTGTTTTCTGTTTTCTTTTCAAAGTCGAAACTGTGTATGACGGCGGTTATGTATATGTATAGTTAACTGACGTATTCAAGATCCATCTTGTTGAATATAATGCGAGATGTATCATATTATCTCAAAGTTTCTCTCTCTCTCTCTCTCTCTCTCCTCTCTCTTTTCTACTTTGACGTTTATATATATAATAGTTTTCGATGTACGTAATTTTATTTCGCTCGATTGGCAATCGTTCTCGGATAAAGTCGTGATTTCTTCGACAAGTACGGAAACTCGAGACTTGTTAAACTGCGTTACAACAAAAGAAAAAGAGCTAGAAAGAAAACGCGGCAAATAATGAAGACATTTATATGAAGAAAAAAGAGAGAAAGAGAGAGAAATAGAAGAGATGAGAAGTTACGCGATAGATGAAATCAATATACGCGTACGCAGATATCGAAATATTTTTCAGTCACCGTAGCCGCAATAGAAGGTTATGAAATATCTGACCGAAATACCAAGTACAAGACCGGAATAAATTCCGTGTTCCGCGAAATAAACGGAATACTTCGCGGACGCAAATGGCGGAACGAACGATTGCGGCATATTATTCTCCTACATATCGTTCGACTTTCGTTTTAACTTATAAAGTCCGTTCAACCGTATCATTTTTCCATAACTTTCAGATGAATATCGATGCGGTTAGCAAAGAAGATCTCTCTCTCTCTCTCTTTCTCTCTCTTAATGTCTCAAGGATATAAGATCCGCTCTTAGAACACAGAGTTTAAAGGTGTGTCTCTTCTCGCGCATCGTTTAATACGTTTTCGAAAATGTTCCATTTATACGCGTACCGCGATGCAGATCTTTTTAAATCTCGTCTTCATTCTATATAATTGATAAAACTTTGAGATATTCGCTCTCTGATTTTACTTAATGTATAAGATACGCGATATTTTATTCGAAATTTATTACTTCTCCCTCAAACACGTTGAAAACCGCGAGTAATGATTTCCTTTGAGAAACTCGTGCCGATGCGTTCGTTAGCGTTGAGAATTCTCACTTCTTTCCTCTTTTTTTTACTGACTTTTCTCGCACACCTCCGGCATCTTGGCTTATATATAATCTCGCCGCTTTCTTCTTATCGCGTGCAAAGATTTCTATAATGATCCGTAAGAGTCGGCGGGACGTCATTTATTATCGCGACGTTTTTCTTTTCTCTATCTATCTCTCTCTTTCTTTCGTTCTCATCTCTTCTTCCATTAATCATCAAAATATGTTGTTATTTTCCAATGAGCTATTCACGTTATCGCGCGAGAGAGTCAACATAGCTCCCAGCGGGGGCTTTTAAAACACTTTCTTCTTGAAACATCGGTGAGCAGGCTGCTTACGCGGAAATAAAGTTACGTTACGAAACTTAAGAAATAATTTCTCCGGTTACGAAGAGAAAGGGAGGAAGGAGTTAGCATTGTCTGAGCTTTATTTCTGGCAACTGTTCAAATAGTTAAGAACTTAAATTCCACGAGAGCGCGCGGCTTTTTCGAGGGCGCGAACTGCTTGTGCCAACGCCCGATTCTCTCTCATTTCACCACCAGTCTATGCGCGGAGCTCTCTGGCATCGTACGAAACTTTACGAGCCTCGAGCCACGTTCTAATCCGGTTTCTATAATGGGAGGGTCCCGTCGATTGATGTCGGGCGGCGCGGTGCAAAAAGGAGAGACTGTGAAATTAATACGGAAGAGTTTCTCCCATCCATTGTTCCTCTTTCGTCCGCGAATACGTGGAATAATTGAAGTCATTTGAAAATCAGAACTAGATATCTGGTGGTCTTTTTTTTCCTTTTTTTTTTTGCGTTATTATAACGGATCGTGCTATCCCATCAGCGAAAATCTCTGCAATAGATATAAAGTGTTACAATGTTCGGGGGATGTGCGATTTTCGTTTTATATTCAGTTAATATATGCGAGAAGGGATATCACCGCGAACCTGATGTGGCTTAGGAATGTCGAAATTTTCACATGGATACGATACGTATTGCCTTCGCTGAAGTGAATATTCAAACGATCGGGACGGGTGGGAAAGAAGGGAAGGGAGAAACGAGATGTGCGTCGCTTTCCGAAGATCGTACGTGTGCGACGACGGGATTTTCGGGGGGTTAGTTTCCACGACCGCGGTCGCAGATGAACGTTCTGTTATGTAAACTCGGAGAATGCGAGAGATTCTAATGGCAGTTTATGCAATCCCATGCTTCTCGCGGGAGAAGAAACGCCGTTTGTTTGTTTGTTTGTTTGTTTTTCTACATTTTCTCGCTTTCTTTTTTCTCCGCCATATACCGAGGCTCTTGCCGTCTTCGCTTGTTAGAAACAAATCAATGGCTTGCCAATACCGGAAGCTGCGAAGTTTATTACACAGTCGCGCGACACACGGATTTCCGAGAGCACCTGTCACGCGCTCATTCCGAAAGAGTTTACTCTTCTCTCGTCTCTGTGAAGATTCGTCTCTCTTCTCAGTTTATTTTTTCTGTTTTTATTTGTATCGTATGCAAACAAAAATATGTTTACATTTCCGTAATAGTTTCGTTTAAGAAATGTTATAGAATCTTTCTTTGGAAACAAGTTCTTCTTATACAAGGTGTTTGAAAAATTGTGACACACACACAGCCAAAATGTGAAGTTAGATTGAGTCGATCTGAACGGAAAAGTTATTTATCAATTTGCAAAATTCGCAATATTTATTGAGTTATTAATTAATATGAACGCGTAGAAAGTGACGGTCCGGATTTGGTAAGCGCGTATACTTTTCAATTGTAAAAAAAAAAATAGTTTATCTTATACAATCTTTTAGCAACAAGAGACGATGCAAAGAAACAAACGGTAATGTGTGACACTACTTGCGATCAGCTGATTGTCACAACTGAAAATCGTACACGACTACGGAATCCGAACCAACGCTTCTATTAGCTCGTATTAATTAATTAATAACTCAATAAATATTTTGACAATTTGCAAAATAGTAAATGATTTCTCTGTCACTTCTCAACATTTTGACACTCTATTCATATGTGAGTTCAAATTTTATGTCTCGTCGAATTGTCTGATACAACGAACGCTCGAAAACTAAGAAAGTTGTCAACGTTTGACAACATTGAAATTACGTTTCCAAATGAATGATTATGGCAACGCGCGCCGCGTGTGGACGATATTAAAGAGTTATTACAGTATTGATATATGTTGTTCACGTGTGAAGTTTGAATAGACGAATATGATCGATCACGTAGTAATCGTACGATCTCGGGGAGCACTTATCGCCGCGAAATTGCTTGGCTTCGGT